GCTTGGAATAATATAAAGTATCTTGGGTCCTTTAAGCATGTTAACTTAAAAGAAGGTCATGTTGACCTATACTTTGAATTTCAAGACAATATCTATATATAAGTATATCGTATATCAAGCGATAATTTTTTTTCTTGCACAGCTTCCAACTTACCTCCATTGAATACTAAAGCGTACTTTCAAGCTCTCTACCATGCAAAAAAAGTGTCTCCCTCCTACTGGACAAAATACACCTCAAACAAAACCTTGGCTGATTGGAACACCACTGTCTCCCAAAAATCATATGAACTTGTGGATTTAAACATCGCCAACCCTCAAACATACAAAAGTATAGAAAGTTTGGCTTTGAAAACATGGCAGTCGCAATTCGTGGGAAAAGGCATAGACTCTGCTGGTTTAGATCAGTTAAATTACACCAATATTAAGATTACTGGAATAAAACGATTGGAAAATCCACATCTTTTTGAGAAATACTGGAAGTATAGAGAGAAGCTCTTTTTAAGAGCATCGCAAAAAGGTGTGTTGAAGCCACTTCATCAAATCACACAAGCCAAAAATGGTGAAGTATTGACAACAAAGATGGCCGATCCTTCACTGAAGATAGAGATTTATCCAGGGATTAATGAGCATTACCTGTTTCATGGGACCCAGCCTACAATCATTAAGAACATCCTGACCCAGGGACTGGATGGGAGGGTGGCAAACAATCCTGTATTTGGAAATGGAGTGTACTGTGCTGAGAGTTCTACCAAATCGGACCAATATGCTGGTACAGTATCCAGAGATTCTATAGCTGTGTAAAGTCTTACATTATAAACTCTCCTGAAAAAAAAATAAAATCATTATCAAGTACAAGTTTTTAACTTTAATTTTCAAAATTTAATCCAAAACAGAACAGGGATTTAAAGGAGAAACAGATGTTGTTAGTGAGAGCTTGTCTGGGGGAGATATTTGTCAGGACAGACACTACAAATAAGTACAGCTACACTCGACCTCCTTGCCAGCGCTGCTACAAGGACAGGTGCACTGACGCTACCCATAGTTCCCTATTCTTCGACTCCATTGTTGTGGATGGTGGCTGGAATTTTAGAGAATTTATTTTTTACGATAACAAAGCTTGTTATCCAGAATATCTGATTTCATACAAGAGAATTTAAATGAATTAAAAGATCTGATTTTTTTTTAATAACCAAGCAGATATTTTCATGTATTTTATATTTCATAAGCCATATTAGCCACTCCAAGTTTTTTTCTCTGTTGAGCATCTACACATTTTTCAAAAACTTACCTATTCACAGGAAAAAAATAATCTGTCAAACACAGATAGATCTTATAGTCATAAAAATGATGGCTTTCAAAGGATTTGGATTTATTAGCATAATTATTTTTTTTGTAGAAAGATATATTCTTTAAATAAGCAAAATCAAGGTAATTAATGTTTAAATTTATATAATATAACATTTTGTAGACAATTATCTAGAGAAATTGAAAAATTTCCAAGATTTTGACCAAAAAAACCCATTTCTGGACTCCTTATTTTGTTTGTTTGTTTGTTTTTTCCCCTGATATATGGTGTTAGACCATGGAGGCACATGTGGAAGCTTTAAAACATAGAAACAACCTGGAGTGGCCTAATTAAATATCTTGCTTTTCACAGACTTAGGCTTCTTATTATTTACTGTCATGTTTACTGTATGGTTTGTATCACAAGCAAGACTCGATCCTCTATCCCAAATATTTTGTTTCAGTATTTGCTTCTAGTTTTATGTTATTTGTTTATCATACTCCTTCAGAAGTGTTTATCTGATGAAGGTACAATGTAGTTATATCTTTGATTTTATGCTTGTATGGATGAAAATCAGAATTATCTACATGCAGTGATCTGGAACTTTTTTAAAAAGTTTTTCACATAATTATATGTCAAAACATATATGCATGTACTGTAATCTATTATAGCATTGTTGAAAATATACTGATTTTACAATTTTTATTTATATAAGTAAATATTACAAAAAAAAAAGCATTTTTGTTTTCAAAAGAAGATGCATTGGGTGAATAAGGCAGGCAGAATGCCTATAGTGCAACAGATAAGAAGTGAAAATTTTAATCTCAATTGAAATTAATCCAAATTTTACTTGATATTTCATCTAATATTAAAGTATACTTTATGTAAAATCTCTACAATTTACAAAAATCTCACAAAGACTGAAAATATTTGGCTATGAAAATGCTTACACACACTAAAAAGAACAAAAACGATCATTTCCTCAGAATTAAACAAAATTTTTCAATATGGGTGGGTCTTCTCTCCATTTTTAGCTCACCTGAGCCGAAGGCTCAAGTGAGCTTTTCTGATCAAAATTTGTCCGTTGTCTGTCGTCGTTGTTGTCGTCGTTGTTGTCGTCGTCGTAAACTTTTCACATTTTCATCTTCTTCTCAAGAACCACTGGGCCAATTTCAACCAAACTTGGCACAAAGTATCCTTGGGTAAAGGGGATCCAAGTTTGTTCAAATGAAGGGCCACCCCTCATTCAAGGGGAGATAATTGGGAATTGATGAAAATTTGGTGGCATATTTTGAAAATCTTCTTCTCAAGAACCACTGTGCCAGGAAAGATGAAACTTATGGAGAAACATCCTCAGGTAGTGTAGATTCAAGTTTGTTCAAATCATGACCCCCAGGGGTAGGGCGGGGCCAAAATGGCCGACCAAAGTTTTACATAGAAATATATAGGAAAATTCTTTAAAAATCTTCTTCTCAAGAATGACAAAGCCATAATTCATCATATTTATCTGGAAGCATGCTCAGGTAGTGTAGATTCAAGTTTGTTCAAATCATGACCCCCGGGGGTAGGGCGGGGCCAAAATGGCTGACCAAAGTTTTCTATAGAAATATATAGGAAAATTCTTTAAAAATCTTCTTAAGAACAGCAAAGCCAGAATTGCTCATATTTATGTGGAAGCATCCCCAGGTAGTGTAGATTCAAGTTTGTATAAATCGTGACCCCCGGGGGTAGGGCGGGGCCACAATGGCTGACCAAAGTTTTATATAGAAATATATAGGAAAATTCTTTAAACATTTTCTTCTCAAGAATGACAAAGCCATAATTCACCATATTTATATGGAAGCATGCTCAAGTAGTGTAGATTCAAATTTGTTCAAATCATGACCCCCAGGGGTAGGAAGGGGCCAAAATGGCCGACCAAAGTTTTTAAAGATATATATATAGGAAAATTCTTTAAAAATCATTTTCTAAAAAATAGCAAATCCATGACTGGTCATGGGACTACTTTTGGATTTAAACTTTACAATAAAAAGCCATTTTCTACTTTTTCCTACCCTTAGTGCTCAGGTGAGCGATGTGGCCCATGGGCCTCTTGTTTTGAAAGATGTTCCTAAAAGTGTGCTATAAAATACACATGTTTTGGTTTTCAAAAACATGGAGCGAAGACCCACTATACCTTAAAGTACAATTTTATGACACAACATTAGCATCTTTCCGAGAAATACTTCAAGTCCGTTAAGTCCGCAGGTCATATCACAAACATGATTTAAATGCCTAAAATCACCATGAGCGTTGTAGCATAGTGGTTAACGCGTTAGTCTCAAAGCAGCATGCTATTGTTACGTCGGATTTTTATTGCTAGGGTTCGAATCCCACGAATACCAACTAATAATTTTATGAAAGAAAAATTTTTTACGAGATTTTTTTCTCTCTCAGAAAAGTTTTTTTTCCTCATAATTTCAAAAATTTCAATAATTAGAAGTTAATTTAAATAATCAATTCACATATTTAATATGATTTCTTAATATCTGACGCTATAGGCATTTTGCCCGCCTTGTTCGCCCATCTTCTTAAAATTTTAGCATTTTAGAATACAATTATTTTTATCATGGAAAAACTGTTATGCATCATTATCTCTTGAATATTTTTATATGATTTTTAAAAAAAAATTTTCACATACGTGTAACTTCAAAATATGATGCTTTAATAGCTGAGTTCAAAATCTGCTATTTATGATGCATAAAACAAAATATCTTTAAAAAAAATTGTTAAGAAAATGAGATGCACATTAGAATTTTCAAAATAAGAATTTGGGTGATAAAAATATATACATGTATTATTTTTTATATAGTTTTTATAATAAAATCTCCAAGAAGTAAGTAATCTACCAAAAAGAATCGGGTATAATTATATAAGTATAATTTTCTATTAATAATGGAATGGCATTTAAGAAATTAGAAAATAGATAAAATTTGAAGTAGCAAACTTCTTTCAATTCTTTGTGGGTAAACATGCAAGCATGTACACTTATATTATATTGGTATCTGTGATATGATCTAGCTGGTGCATAATGTACATGTACAAAGTCATTCCTTTTTTATGGTGTTCACAACTGTGATACTTATTCATTATTTTATTGGTAAAACACTTTATCTTTGAACTTTTGATTTTATTGATTTTAATCATTGTTTTCATGTATAAAACAATATGACATTATATAAATATAAAATGCATGTCAATGCATTAAAATTTGTTTTCTTTTATTTTATAATAAACTATTAAAGTATTACAAACTCTGTGAAGTTTTTTCTTAAAATATTATTGAAAAAATAAAAATTTAAGAAGTTTAAAAAAGACACCCTCGCGGATTATTAAGATATATATCCCAAATAAAATATATTCAAGTTTTAAGAATACAGCACAAAATTAAAGAAATGCAGAGAAAACGATTTTTAAGACTTTTGAGAAAATCAGCTGTTATGAAAGCCTGGGTCCGCCAATTAGTTACCTTTTAAAGGAGCATTCATTATTTCAATAAATATTGCAATCTAATAAGACTCCCTGTATAAACGCAAACGCTCCTAAAATTTAAGTTAAACAAAATAATTGTTTTATTTTTATTTTAAATATTTTTTTAAAAACACTTTCTTTAGAAAAAGGAACTTTTTATTTCATGATTACACATTTTTGTTTTGATTTGCCGTTGTAATGAAAATAATGACAATTCCCTCATACCTGCCTCAGGTGTGACGATTTTAAAACGAGACGGAAGACAACAAACATGGCGTGCTTACACAGGTTCCTCTGCTGGAATCTCCGAACAGCATGCTTTGTTTTCTATATTTTAGTTGTGGTAAGTTTATTATTTTGATAATAATATATTAAAACAGTCAACTGTGAAATGGGACATTTCGAAAATCTTCAGATCTAACTGAGAAACGATTAGATCTATGTTACTTTTTATTTCTCTATCACTTCCGGTATTTTTCATTTATACGAAATTAAAAAGAGATCGCAATTTAAATTCTTCTATCAAGAGAACAAGAAATGAATAATTAGTTAATATGTAATTATAATAGTATATATATAATTATGTCTACTGATCTATAGCTGTGTACTCATTGAACAGTTCGGTCTATTTGGATATGCATGTATTTGTGAGTCATGCATCTAGTACATCATTCATAATCTAATATTCAAAAAAATATTTAATACAATTTTGGAGGGTAGCTAGACCAACATGTGATTGTGCATTTAGAAAGCCCATCTTGATTGAAATGAAATTGTTATAAATACAGTGGAAAAATCTAAATCGGTAGATTTAATATAGCTGCAGAACTGTAGGTTATGTTTTTAAAGCCATATATGGTGTAACTGATCAAAAAAATATAATTTTGAAAAATACAAAATTAAGTAAAGAAATATAGTTGATACATTTAAATTAAAGCTTTTCATACAATTCTGAACATGGAGAACACCTTGTTTCATCGAATAATACAATTTTATCTCCTCTGTAATGTGTTATTTAAATCTTTTGTATTTTCTTCAGTTGAAATAGTAAAAAATTAAATTGTGATATCTATATATTTAGATTTTGTAATTTACGGAAACGTTCTATCTTTATATAAAGTAATAATACAAATAGTAAGTTCTTATAATTTTAGTCCAGTAATTTTCTTTGTACATACGCCATAATTTATATGGCTTTAACGTTATGGTTTTATAGATTAGTCTTTGAGCATATTAACGCTACAGATCCCGTAATGCAAAAAATGTGCAATTTATGATGCAAGATTTTTTGCGCACTACTTCATGGGAGAATTACTCCACTTTCCGGCATCAGTCAATCAACTGTCTCACTTCCTAATTTCGGACACATTCTTTCACTACTTTGCATATTTTATTTACCTCCCAATTAACCCTTTATAATCATTTCTACAGGGGTAAACAGTAGGTAGATTTCAATAATTTATTGTCTTGGATATCAGAAAATTTCAAAATAAGCGAGTTAATTACTTGCTTGCAGAGACAATAATAAAGGGTTGGAAGTATAGATAAATACAGATTGGTTAATGAATTTGTCTAAGAATTGGGGAGGGAGAGGTAGTTGATTTACCAATGCTGGAATGTAAATTAACAAAATTCTCTCCAAGTTACATGCGCAAAAAATCGTGCGCCATAAATTGCATACACATTTTTTGTGTGGCAGTCAGCAGGTTCTATTGCTGGTGGCCAGATAGCTCAGTTGGTAGAGCACCTGACTGGAGTTATTAGGGGGCCGGGTTCGAATCTTGGTCTGGTCCACTGCATTGTCTCCTCTTCCGTTACATTTGCATTACGGGATCTGTATTGTTATGGTCAAAGACTTAATTTAATATATAAAACCATAATGCTACAGTTCTGCAGCTAGATCTAACCACAATAAACATATTTAGCATAATCATTCTTCAAGTAAAGTTGACAATTTTATTTTCCTTTATTTTAGTTTACAGCTACATTTGCCCTAACCCTTCGCCTTGTAGACCTGATAGCTACAGGAACAGACTTTGAAATCAGCATGGGGTTTAAAACGCTGTGGCGAGCTCATTTTTGGCAAAGTAAGTAAAATTGACCATCTTGATCAAATTCAGGTAGGGGCAAAAATTTGTAATAATTATAACTAAGATATACTTGTCTATCTCCTTAATGGTTATATCAAAATAATTGATATTTAGTGAGATGTAATAATCTTTAGAGATTGAAATTCCTAACTTTTCCACAGAATCGTAAGACAGATTTGTAGGCAAGCCGCATAAAAATACTCAGCTCCATTTTTTGTAACATTTTTTTTTCTTTTTCAGGTTTTTTGGCCAGTGACATAGTTCTCACTTTTGGTCATGTGGTGATGATTCTTTACAGTGGCTTTATGATTCTGCAAGTGATGGAAAGGGTAGGTTTTGTCATGAACACATAAATACAGAAGGCTAATATTGTATTGCATTCATTTTCTTGCTTAATGGAAAATGATAAAATAAAATTTCTGCCCAACATATGCCCAAGTTATCATGTAAGTTTGCTATAAAATGGAAACCATTCGGTCAAATATACAGGGAAACTACACCATTTATTTTGAATGGGAGAATGATTAAATATCAGTTTTTATTTGAAAAGTAAATAAAACATATGAGCTATACTTGCTTCAAAGGAAACATGTTCATATTAAATTTTGATTTTACCTTTTTTTGCAGCATTTTGTGATGTACATGAGAGCACACAAAATCTACATCATCTGCTTCATCATATACATCTTAGTCGAGTTTGCCTTCTCTGTTTTCGAGTACTCATTCTATGCCATGAACACATTTGTAAGTATACAAGTCAAATTTTTTTCCCTTTTAGTTATCTGATTCAGTATTAATATAATAATAACGTATAAAAAATAAATGAGATGCAAGAACATATCATATGAAGCGTTTTCCTTTTATTGCATAATCATATCTCCAATCACTCATGTTTGCTTCACTGGTACGGCAGTAGTTTGGGATTTATGATCAAAACCTTAGTAGACTTTTACGTACATTTCTACTATATGATCCCAGAAATAATTGCATTAACTGATAGACATCATGAGTATAATTTATTTCTGCCTTTCCAGGCTGATTGTTCTATGAAATTGAGGCTCTCAGTATATCTTTTTTATTTCACTAAAGTCCCCAACATTGGAAATATTCCCCAACATTGGAAATATTTAAAATTAGTTATTACAAAGAAATTTGAACAATTGATCAAAGCAACATGTGAACAATAAACAAAAAGAACAATCTTAAGTTCTATGATGTAGAGTTGAACAGTTTTCCACTTGACTCTCAATGCCTACTAGAAGAGTTACCTCCCTTGTCACAATGCATAATAAAATTCTGTTTTTGTTTCAGAGGCTGTCCTTTGTGGTGTTTACATGGCTCTTCTGGGTGTTCAGGACACTTCTAAATGTAAGATTCTGAAAACAAAAAAAAAAAAAAAAACTAAGCTTATAACTTTTTCTTGTTTTTTCTCAAATTAATCGGTGGGGAAAATGTTGAATGTTTAAAGTTTTGTTTTGGATCCTTTTTGGTAGGTTACGTTCATTGTGGTGTTGTTTGCCAGGAAACAGGAAATGAACGAGCAGATGGAGTATGAACTCCGATCTGCCGGAGAGTCAAAGCGAGGCTATTACTGAGGTCAAAAGGTCATACAGCTGATTCAAAGCATCCATTTCTTCATTGTGCCATCCGTAGGATAAACCTATCAGTGATGTATCATCCAAATAAAAAGGAATCTCCACGGAAAATAGTTTAAAGAGGAACTGTGTATAGATATTTTTATTTTATAGAATAATTAAAAAAAATATATATTATTTTTTTGACTCAACTTTTGGCTATAAAAAAGTGTTTTATAATTAAAAAAAAAAATGGAGAATTTTATTAGTGTTTGGAATTTAACTAAAGTAAATTCCGACAAATATAGATATAAAATATTCTCTTCCCCCCCCCCCAAAAAAAAATTGTTTTCACTGTTTTATTTAATTTGAATCAGCATTATCATGTGAAATACCTAAAGGAAAACAAAAACCAAAAAAAACAAAACCAGAAACAAACCATTCATTCTACATACAAAGATCATTTTGCATACACATTGGGTTCTATTAAATGATTCGTTTTCCCCCATATTCATGACAAAGATGTTTTAATGCATAGTAATATCATGATTTCATTTATATGTAGTACATTCATTTCTATTATTTGACAACTAACTTTACCCAGAAAAACCGCAATCTAGACCTTTCACATAGACTAGAACATTTGATTGAAATGTAAATAGTATATCATTGTAATATTTCCATTATGTATATATTTGTATATTATTAGTCATCATACTTTTTTTTAATCTTTGAATAAATAATCTCATAAAATCATATTTGTTTTTTTTAAATTAAAATTTATGTAATGGTACATGTATATACTCAACAAAAAAGAAACACAAAATTATTCAGATTAAACATGATAATCATGATAAGTTTTCAGTTTAAACCTTAATTTTTTAAAGTGATTTAAGATTGGGTTATGGTCAAAATCATATAAGTCTAGACCTATGTTCCAAATTGACAAGATAAGTTGATGTCATTGACATCGCCTCCAAATTCTAGAGGCATACGTCTTTACCAATCCATCAGTCATTTGCGACCTCTCAGCGCTAGTGGATTTCCAGTGTACGGACGTCGTGCACATATACCAGCTCGTCTCAGTCATTTGAGAACAATTTGAATCAGTTTATGGTCTTGGAGCCTGCATTTGCCAAATTTCAGAATAATCTGAACCTAAAGTAGAATAAAGATGTGATCAATACCATCCCCTTCTCCAGACTCGAGATGTCTGTAGTAGACATGCATGAATCGAAATGAACTACAGTCCAGTCTCCAGATCATTTTGAGTAGGGCCCAATAATGTATACACGGAGATGATGTCATTTCTAAAGGAGGGAAATACAAACAAATGAATGCTGAATTAATTCATCAGTCAAATGAAATGTTTGAAAACTTCAACTGCATGGTTTTACAAATTGATTATATATACACTGTGGATTTCAATTTAGTTTATTCCCTTGCAACGCAGTTGGGGGAATATAGAGACGCGTTGTGCGTGTGTTAGTTTGTCCTTGTGCGAAACTGAGGTCATTTAATTTGCATCGGGACTCATTATATAAATATGCGCTTGAAACTAGGTGTGTCTGAATACCCTCATTAAAATGAAAATAAAAATATGCTGAAATTAGCACGTTTTAAGTATGTCATATTAACTATATACACTGTAATACGAATCCATTATTTCCCTTTAAACGCATAATTATCTTATTTTCCATCTTAGGATCCATTTTTCATACTACATGTACTAGACTACTAGCCAATCAGAGGAATGGGGTTTTGCTAACAATGACAAATTGTGGCCTTCATGTTAACATCGGCACAGGCGAACATTAATCGAAACCTTTGTTTTGGTATATAATAAAACAATTCAAGTATACACATAGGTTAGTAAGACGATCAGTCAACCATGACTTGTATTTTTTGGGGGAGGGGGAGAAATCGAACTTATCTTCGTGAAAAAGGAATATTACAATATCTCCATTTCTTAATATACTCGCTTGTCGTATTTATTTAAGAAAAACATGTTGACCACGTATAAATTATTATTATTTTAAAATTAAAAGTTTACAGCAAAACAAACATGGGGACGATCGATTGGTTACTTTTATAGAACCTGCTTTTAGATTAATTAAGTGCATATCTTATCAGGTAGGGAAGATTTATGAAGATAATGTCAACAGAGAATGTAGGATAAAACCCCCAAGTCCTTTGAGTAGATCACCTTATGGTCTCCCCTACTTTCAGGACAACACTATATCTTAGTGATAGCCAAGAGGAGTTGTAATCCGCATCTGTCAAAGAAAAGATATGAATCACTCCAAAAGATAATTATGATTCTCCAAATAACCAATATTTGGCCATTTCAAAGACTCTAGAAGGGTACATGCTATCAGAAGTTTGAAGTGATTTAATATTAACATTTTTAAATTGGATAACTGCGTTTCATATCAATATTGTCCCCCAAGAAGGCTACCGACTTCCAAAACATTGTGTGAAACTCGCAGACTCGCAATGCATAACATTTTGGCCTTACTAGTAGGCATCTGTTGCCTGTCCGCTTCTCTGGCTAACGAACAGCAATGTCTGGCAATGCATGGCTTCCAGAACACGTACGCGGCCGTCCGTCAGAAGGCCGAGGAGATGGCGACACTGGTCCAAACCCTGAAAGCACAACTGGACAACTCCATTGAGCTCAATTGCGGCGATATTGGTGCAAATGGTGAGTTTGAAACCAATTCTGTTATAGGTGCTTTTAAAATTTATTTTATTTTATATTACAGTATTTATACATTGTAAGTCTTTAAATATATTTCAATCCAATTAAAGTTGCACAAAATCTGTACACGTTCAATTTGACCCACTGCGACTTTGAGGACGGAAGTCAGATGTGTAACTTTACCCAGAACCGAGACGACAATTATGATTGGATGCTGGACAATACTCACCCAGATCATACACTGGGATCCAAAATGGGTGAGACGTTACAAGTTTATCGATACATGTAGGCTTGTTCGAACTTCTGATGATTGAGTGTTTAAGGGGGATGTACAAGCCAATTGGATCTAGTCTGGTGTGAAATAAGAAATGCCAAGAATGCGCTAAATACTCGTCTAAACTAGCCCAAAGTTACTCAAAGTGTTAATGCACTAGTTACCTACTGTTAGAGACCAAAATTAGTAAATAATTAAGTTTATTTTGTTTTAATTAGGAGGAGATTAATCATTGTAGAACTGCGCTGCTACAGCATTCACGAGATGAAAAATGCATTGAAAATGGTGTTAGTTTGATTCATTGATAATATGGCTACAACCATTTGTTTCGCTTTTTTCTTGTCATTATCTAGAATTCTTGAAAATTTGATTTTTCATATGTGTGTCTTCCTGAGACCATGTGTTTATTTCGTCCGCCATTCCTCTGTCGCACAGAGTTCGAATAACATTGATTTTAGAATAAATGCGACCATAAAAACATCAAGACAAGAAATTACTTAGTAATAATCATTAGGTAATATTACTTACTACTTTTATTTGTTGCATCGCTTCGTCTGATTAATGAAAAAACGCGATTTTAACCCCACTCCAGCAAATCGGGAAAAACTGTTCTGTTCACAGCTCGAGTTTCCTAGTAAATATTAATACACTGAGCACGTGCTTGACATGTGCATATATCTGCTGTGGATAGATGCGTTTATAACCATGATTATATTTAATTTTTCGTGGAACAAGTCTTGATAATTTGTTGGTTTCTTTAAAACTCAAGAAAACGCTAAAAAATGCCCTAAACATATGTGTTTACGTCGGGTCTTTTTTCTGTGGCGATAGAAGTTATTTTGAAATGGGGCACTGCAAGGAGGATGCTTAGCATTTAATTTGAAAATGTTAAACAATATGCGGTGCATGAAAAACAAATTGCAATTACATGTCTTACATTCGAAAAGTTGGTACATATGTCTATTTTGTTTAGCAGTTAGATATAAAAAATAGGCAGTTACAGGATTTCCTTTCAGGCACCTCACATAAATAGCTTGATTGTTTGCAATGACCAACACATCGTATGGAGTAATGTTTGGACATAAAAACGCATCATGTCTCATTATGTTGACTACGTTGTAAGCTCTCGATCATTGAACATACGAAGCTTGATAAAATATATAGAGTTGTTTTTTTTTATTTAGAAGCAATCACAATGTTTGCAAACAAAGGTCCATTGCATATGCAATGTCTATCTATCATCGCAAAAAAATGAGAGACTACCCCCCCCCCCTCCTCCGAAAATCATATGTTCTTTTTTCAAAATAGTGCCAAAGATTAAAAAATTTTGCATTACTAAGTATGTGATGGAACATGTACTAGCCTTAGAAGACCATTTGTTGTAAATATATTTGGTTGCCCTCTCTCCCGATCTACTGCCTAAAAATGGCCCGACTCAATTTTATTATGTCCCCCAAACGAAGTTGGGGAACATATTGTTTTTACTCTGTTTCTTATTATTATTAAGGTCTTCCGTCTTCACGGAAGACCTTATAGTGATTCTACTGTTTCTTATTAAGGTCTTCCGACTTCCTTCGGAAGACCTTATTGTTTTCCGTCGGTTTCCTATTATTATTATTATTATTATTATTCTTTTTTTCATTTCTAGGGCGATATCTCAGCTGTGACTGTACGGATTTCAAAGATTTTGACAGGAAAGATGCACTAGGTTATTATCTCCAGACGTGTTTTTCATTTTTTCAAAATTTTCTTCCGTTCGCGATTTTTGGGGAAATTTGTATTTTTTAAATGGATTTTTGTACACTACTTTTCTCGAAAACGGCTAAAGATATGACATTGAAACTTATGGACATGAAAGAACATCACATGTAGATGTGCCGAACGTCCTTCATTTTTTGTCGTTCCTACTTCCGGTCGCAAACGGAAGTGAATTAAAAAAGTCCAATTTTTCAACTTTTGTGTTTTTCAATATTTATCTTTCGGATTTACAGGGTTTATAGAGCGTCTTCAAAGATATCTATATATGTTTTCATTTTCTTCATGCGTGTGTTTATTGCAAAGATATGACCGAACCAAACTTTGTCTTACTGTCGGGGGTTCGAATCCCGCTCGGGGCGTTCCCCAAATTTTTTCTTTCTTTTTGTCTTTTTTCAGTTGCAAATTACTTTTCACTCTTTTATAACATGTGTGGAACATTTTGCCGATTTTTAAAAGCTATATTTGGAGATATTTTGTGAAATACCTGGAACAATCACGATCTGTGTTGAGAAACTCCTGTAAATGAACGTAATCGAAAAAATACATTCTGAAATCTATTTCATGGGATGACGCAGCATAAAACTCTAAAGAAAAGTCGGTCGGAAGACCTGCTTGTTGCACTAGCAACAAGAACGCATCTAGTTAAGGTCTTCCGTCTTCACGGAAGACCTTATAGTGATTGTATTGTTTCTTATTATTATTATTATTAAGGTCTTCCGTCTTCACGGAAGACCTTCTAGTGATTCTACTGTTTCTTATTATTATTATTATTATTCTTATTTTTTTCCCCAAAATTTTGTGCAGGCGATTTCTCGAAAACTGTTTGGTGGTTTTCAATGAAACTTTCAGGAATCATGCGTCATTATATGAACTTTGTTCATCAGAAGGAAAATTTGGAATACTCACCTTCGGTTCCAAGTTATTGACAGTTTTCTGATTTTAAAATGGATTTTTGTCCCCCCTTTTTTACGAAAATGGTCTAAGATATTAACTGGAGACTTGTTAGAGATGATAGATGATGACTTTAAGATATGTGAAATTACCTTTTTGTGTGTCGTCAGTACTTCCGGTCGCTAGCGGAAGCGAATTTAAAAAGTCCGTAATTTCTAACTTTTTTGTTTTTCAATATTTTTCATTTATTTTTGGAATGTTAATAGAAACTGTTCTTATAATGCTTACTGTATAATTTGTTTGAACATTGATAAATCCAAACTCTAGATATTAACATTTGAAAATCTGAAGCGGTCCAATATGGCGGCTGTCTATGTCAATTCCGACATTTCGCAATAGGGGTTTTCAGAGACAGCCAAGCGTTTGCTTGAACGAAATTTAATAAGGATAAATGAAATGTAAAGGAATACGGGGATTGTCACGAAGTAGATACGTTGTTATGTGTCAAACTATGTTTAAATCCATGGTCGTCTCAAACGTCTTCTATAATTGGTTTTGGCTGGTTCTCAAAGTAGAAAAAGAAAAAACTAAATGTGCAAATGAAATACATACCTACTATCATTTGTTTTGCGGAAAAACAGATTTTAAATCTTAGTTACAAATAATAGTTTTAAGAAACAATATCGATGTATGTAGTAAGTATCAAACGTATCCACTGTTTTGCTCATGCACCCTAGAGTTATATTAAACTACATTTGTAATAGGAGAGACAAACATAAGAAAATCATCTTTTAGAAGAATTGAGTTTATATTAATATTCTTGTGTCAAAGATATGATTTAAGTTATTGAACATAAATGGTATCTGATTCCTTGACCGTCTTAGGGCGACACATGTTTTTCTGCGAATAATTTCAACCTTTTCATGAAAGTTTAACTAATTGGGATAGTTCAGTATTGGGATAAACAGGAAATTTTAAAAAGTAAAAAGTTATTGCAGTTTCACTGATTTAGTGTTACTTATCTATTTACGTCATAGAATTTGTAAATGTGTTAAAAACAATTATTTCTTTACCTTGAAATTTTAGCTATGAAAACGTTCTTTTTTTATTTCCATTGAAGCTATCACACCTATTTAATGGGACATTCCAAAGAAAAGGCGCGAAGATTTACTTGTGGCGTTTGACGCAAAATTATGAATAGTGACCGCCTTTCATTATTCTAAGACAGATGAACTGTTTCAGAAGTATATACAAGTAGATTTAGAATTGTGGTCCCGATACCGTAATACAATGTAGTAAGCGCTTTGGATTTTCATGCTGGCGACCCGGGCTCAATCCCCTTTGTTTCCATAAAAAGTTTTATCCCTTTTTCAGCTCGATTTTGCGGGATTTTTTTTCAGAATCGGACGGAAGACCTCTCGTTGCTCGCAACGAGTTTCTTATCTAGTTATTATTCTTTTTTTGACAAAATTTTGTGCACGCGATTTCTCGAAAACTATTCAGTGGTTTTTCACGAAACTTTCACAAAATATGCGCCTTTACATGAAGTTGTGCAGTCTGTAATTGTTTTTGGAAAATTCGCTTCCGGTGCCAAGTTATGGACGATTTCCTGATTTTAAAATGCGATTTTGTCGCGCACTTTTATCAAAAATGGTAGAGAATATGAACTGGAGACTTATTGGAGATGATAGATCATGACTTTGCGGTTTGCAGAATCGCCTTTTCGTGCGTCGTCAATAGTTCCGGTCGTTACGAGATGCAAATTTAAAACTCGTATTTTTCTAACTTTTTTGTTTTTCAACATTTTTTATTTATTTTTGGAATGATAATAGAGACCCTTTGATCGAGGCTTACTATATACGTTGTTTGGATTTTGGTTAATCAGAACTCTAGATATTAATATTTGAAAATCTGAAGCGAACCCAAGATGGCGGCTGTCTCTGTCAACTCCGCCATTTTGCGAGTAGGGGTTTATGGAGGCACCTGAGCGTTTGACTAAATGATACATGAAAAGTAAAAAAACTACGTGGACTTTCACCTAGTAGTACGCTGCAATTCAGTGACAATCTTAAAACTTAATTTCCGTTTTATTGCTTAAGTGTAATTGGGCTAGATACGTGTGTGCAATGTTTTAAATTTACTTTCTTAACGTCGAAATAAAATAAAAGAGATAAGTGGAAGTTGTTTTATTTAATATTTAATTTCATTGAAGCTATCACACCTATTTGATAGATCAGTCCAAAGGATAGGCACGAATATTTACTCGTAGTGTTTGTCGCCAGATTATGAATAGTGAACCGCCTTTTATGATTCTTAGACTGGTGTACTGTTGCA